AGGAACGGTGTTAAACTGAGACAGGGAAGTTTAGGTCAGATATCAGGAGGAAGTTTTTCACCCAGAGGGCAGCGAGGCACTGTTACAGGTTGCCAAGGAGGCTGTGGATGCCCCATCCCTGCAGGCATTCAAGGCCAGGCTGGATGTGGCTCTGGGCAGCCTGGGCTGCTGGTTGGTGACCTGCACACAGCAGGGGGTTGGAACTGGATGAGCATCGTGGTCCTTTTCAACCCAGGCCATTCTGTGATTCTATGAAAAACAATATCCAAAGGTATTATTTTCCTAGGAAAGGAAGCTGCAATGCATTACATTAATGACATGTGTATTTATTTGGAAAAAGCCAAATTGATGGCTATTTTTATAGGCCCACACAGATTAATTTCAGACAATACAATGTCCAACATGCTAAAACATCACTCTTACTGGCAACAACAGGTTTGTGTCAGTCATGCCTGTGCTGGGAGCTTTACTCCATGTTAAGTCCTTCTGGGCAGGAGATGAGGGATAACCTCATACAGGTGAGGGGAGCCAGGTTTGCATCCACACAAACTGCAAAGACTTGGACTTTAGGATGCTTGTATGTCATTAATGAATCCAGCTCTGCACTAACATGCTAATTTAATGGCTTGAGTGCATGTTTTGTTCTGTTGTTTCTTTTTCCCTTCACTTGCTATTTGAACAGGTAGGACAAAAACTCACTCCTGAACCCTTATTTGAAACTTGGCCTCCATTCTGTAATGCTGCTGGTGTATTTCCATTATAACATGAATCTGCTTGAACACAAGCAAAGTAAAACAGAAATGTAAATTAACAGAATAGCATAGGGAAATAATTACAAAGTTGGTCAACATCAAAGCTGGGGAAAAAAACCAAAAGCTCCTATTTCAGGAGATCAATCATCAACCCAGTGGCCAACAAACTCATCCATCTTCACAAGCTTCCCAACAACACGTTTTACACATGCATCATCCGCTTCTATTTCTCGTGCCACTGACTCAAATCCAGTTCATACAGGTGCCAAAGCAGGTCACAAAACTACAGGGATAGCTCTCGAGTGGATCAGTGCTATTATTGGGCTGAATTTATTATATATCTTGAATCCTCATTGCTTAGTCTGCAATACTTTTTGCTTTGACAAGACGGATTTGATTGGCACAGTGATCTATCAGATCATACTACAGTGAAACACCAAACACTGACATTTGTAGAAGGAAAGGTAGAGCAGAAGTATTATCAGTATTTGTGCTGAGAACTACCGCGTCCATCCAGCAGTGAGTACATTATAAGAACTGCTGTGCTATTTAGAAATATTTCCACCTACATTTTCAAATAACTAACTTCACCACAATATGTATTTTATAGCCACACAAATCACAAAGAAATTCTGTTACAAACAGAACCATACTGTGTTCTGCCATCTTGTACAGCAAGTCAGTCAATCATTGGGTTTTTGTTGCAGTACAGTTGGGAGTCACTTTGCTGTTTTGTACAAAAGTTCATACATTATTAAAAGGGAGAGGAGGCTTTCGTGGCCTGCAGAAAGTGACATGCAAATGTAAGTTTGGGAGGATCTTCCCTGACACATTTCTCTTACAGAGGAGCTGGTAGTTTCCAAGGATTGCCCATCATTCAGATAGCTCCTTGTAAACCTTCATACCATCCATCCCAAAAAGCCAGCTGAGTCTTAGGGCAAAACGTAATGGCATTTATGGAAGTTGATGTTAGACTTAGTCCATCACATGGAATTAATTTGTTAAATATGAACCCACATTTTTATTATTTGCTATCTGCTTTACTACAGTCCTTTCCAGAATATGATTCCTTTGTTTAATAGCAACAATCGTCCAAAAGTTGATTCAAAAATAATTAAAATTCCGAGCTCCACAACAACTCTTTTAAACATAAGCCAGCAACTTCTGCCAAGGGAAAGAAAAAGAAGAACAAAAAGCCTCCTCCTGGCATGCCCGAGCGTCTTGCTCAGGTTAGGAACCGTAGTGTGCTTCAATCAGCAAAGCACTGGCCCCCACCAGCCCTGCACACTGCACTTGTGAGCCCAGTCCAACTGGAAATTGAGTCAAGGAGCTTCATTTCAGCAGGAGGCCCCAGCATGCCATGGTAATGACACCAATTTTGCCATTCAGAGGTTCTTGCAGGAGTCAAATCAGTGGTGAAAAATGTAATACTCATCTTTCCTCACCAAATGAGTCAGTGCAGCAGTGCTATTTGCTGCCAAGTTAACGGCACAAAGTCAACTTTTTCCTCTCTGTTATTATCACTGAGACATGCCTGGACCAGCATTTCCTCATTATCCTGCTCACCCCTTTTTCTCTCCACAAATGAGCTCTGTAATTCAATTCCTCTCCTTAACTACCCCAAAAAACAGCACCAAACAGACAAAACTATGCTGCTTCCAAATCCAGACCTGCTTCCATACCATATCTGAATACTTCTTGTGCCATTGATAGAGTAACACGTCCACTCTTTGGGAAACATCAGAGAAACAATTATTTTACTTGGGTCTATGTAGTTTGCTTCCATGGGATACTTAATATAGACGTGGAGCAGGGGAGAGATCACCTCCATGGAGAATGCAAACTGCTCCACATGCTAGTTGAACAGTAATTGGATAAACAGTGCAGAAAAGCAACTAAAGAAGTTTAGGGAAAGGGTACCATTGTTTCCCCCCAGTCAGATGGGGTTCCCTACACCTTCAGCAGTCCTCAGTGCGTTTCCATTCTATAGACCTCTTCACTCTTTCACACATAAAGAGCTTTGATATCCTTTGGGAAATAAGCTTCACAAACCTACAGTGCATTGCATGAAGTGCACACGCTGGCTCCCATAAGGTTTATGCAACATCTCCAGAACTATTTTATTAGAAAAGATAGTGAACAGCCTGTTTATCTGTCTCACTAACAACTTACTGAATCATAGAATCACCTGAGTTGGAAGGGACCCCCAAAGGCCATCAGGTCCAATCCCCTGCAGCAAGCAGGGATGCCCACAGCTCCATCAGTGCTCAGAGCTCCCCAGTCTGAGCAGGGTGTCTGTAGGGATGGGGCAGCCTCTCTGGGCAACCTGTGCCTAACCATCCTCATTGTAATAACTTCTTCCTTACATCCAATCATTCAGTTTGAAACCATTTCCCCTTGTCCTGCTAATGAGTCTGTCCCCTTCTTTCTTACAGCCCTCTCAGATCTCCCTGCAGCCTCCCCTTCTCCGTGCTGCACAGCCTCAGCTCTCAGCCTGCCCTCACAGGGAGGTGCTCCATCCCTGGGGTCATTTGTGCCCCCTGGACACTCACTCTCCAACAGGCCCACATCTCTCCTGTGCTGAGGACTCCCATCAGGACACAACACTCCAGGTGAGATGTTGCAGAGCAGAGGGACAGGATCACCTCCCAGCCCTGCTGGATGCACTCCTTAGATGCAGCCCATAGTATGATTGGCTTTCTGGGCTGTGAGGACACACTGCTGGCTCATTTCCAGCTGCCATCCACCAGCACCCAAGTCCTTTCCAGCAGGGCTGTTCTCCATCCTTACATCCCCCAGCTTGTACTGACAGTGGGGGTTGCCACAACCCAGGTGCAGACTTTGCACTTGGCTTTGTCGAACCTCACGAGGTTCAGCTGGGCTCACTGCTCAGCCTGCATAGGCCTCTCTGGATGGCACCCCACCCCTCAGGCATGTTGACTGCACCACACAGCTTGGTGTCATCCACAAACTACTAAGGGTGCACTTGATCCCATTGTTGATGTGCTCCATGAAGATGTTAAAGAGCACCAGTCCCAGCACTGACCCCTGAGAAACTGCAGCCTCTGCCTCTTGGGTTGTGTCTATCTTGACTGAAGAATTCCAGCCTCTCACATTGGTCAATCCTGTGGTTTACACAGAACTACACAGCAAGGGTTGTCACTCTTGCAGTCTTTCTAATCACTTGTTTATGAGAGTCATTGATACCATCTAAAAAATTAATATCTAAAAGCTTAGTCTCTGCATCTTGTCTTGTTAAATTTCAGGCATCTTATATTAAGTTTATACTTATATATAAAAGGCCATCTTACATAACTTATATTACTTCACTGTAACCAAAAGTTATTTCATTTGTAATTTGTTTTTACTATAGATCAATTGCCACGACTTAAACATCTTCCCTATTTCATGTAATGGCTGCCAATCTCATCTCTGAAGAAAAAGCTACTAAAAGTAATGTAGAAAGAAAAAAAAATCTTAGATTCAGTATTAGAAAGGAATATCTCAAACGCTGAAATTTTGCTAAGTGAAACATTTCCTGTGGTTAACTGAATGTAGGTGTCAAGTTGTGCTCACTGACTTTTATGTACTAAACTCAGCAAATTGTTAAACCAAGTACGTGCTTCCAAATGTGCAAAACCCAAGAGGAAAAATAAAGTTACCACTACTCACCAGTATTCCTTGTTAATACACATCATACATTTAAAAAAACATCTGTTATATGATTTGACAAGCCTCAAGAAGGATGACATTTTCTATTGTATTACAGTCCTATCACTACAACATCAGACTGGGGAAAAAAATCAGTGCATACTGCAGTTCCAGCTAAAATTTATCATTCTTACCAGCAAGAAGACTGAAGCTTGTTTTCCAATACACTTATGCCTGGTGGTTGAGTTATTTTCAATATTTTTATTATGATTCTTTATCATGAGTTTATCCCTCACTGATGACAGAAAAATGACTCAGAAGAAAAACAAACTGAGAACTAAATCTGGTGTTTTATAATGGATGAACTCCCACTGAGATCTCCAGGAACAAACAGATGTGAGGGAATTGTCTTTTGTGGGTTCCTTCCTGTCCAATAAAGGTAGAGATCACTGCTTTCTTTAATACAGCTTCAGCCTATTTCTTCCTCTTCTGAGCAGAAATATTGATACTTCCTACCTTTGAGACCTCAAGGCCTCTCTTGACTCCTGTCACACAAGACAAATAGCAGGACACATGGTCCATAACAGAAGGCTAGAAAGGAAAGAAAAAAAAAAATCAATAATGTATTTCAAAACATTTGAACAAATGTTATTATTCTGTATCTTGTAGTATTTACAGAGTGAAGCTTTACAAGTACACACAAACAGGTGCGATCCTTTCTGAAATCTGTATACTGTTATAATGTTAGTATTCATGCTATTTTGTTCACAGATAATAGATCAATCTAATTAGTGCCTCTTTTCAAAAAAGGAAGGTGACATGCACCTATAGCTGACACTAAAGCAACTGAAAATGTCACCATCTAATGACATATAAATTAAGTAGAGCACAGAGATGTTTACTGTGACGATTAAAATCGCTGAGTTCAGTCTGCGAGTTCACGTCGCTCCCACAAACAACAGTGCCCCTTTTTATCCATAACCCTTGTCATTCAGATCCACAGCTACAGTCACTAAGTTTGGGAAGATAGAGACTCGATCGCTTTCCTCTTGGTGCAATGCACATGTGGCACACACTGCATCAATGTGAGTTATCCACCTGCTGGCCTGCTCATTACTTGCCATGCTGCAGGTGTCCAACTTCTGGGCTTGCCTGGGCTGCACTGAGTGAAGAGGAATTGTCTTGGACCCTATATTACAAAAATACATAAAATATTTAATGCATTAATGCATTAAACAGCAATTTTTATTTATTTATTTATTTATTTTACATTAAAAAAGGAGGCAATGAAAACATAAAACTAGGGGTTGGGCATGCAGGGTATCCATAATCACACAGTCCTGACTGAACCATGGCACTTTTTGAACCAGTGTATACAATCCACCCCTACACTCTCTTCCTAGGGCAAGTAATCTGCTTTGCAACATACTTTCTTTTAAGGCAACTGCCTACTAGTTTCAATTTATACACCCCCCATTCTGCTGTTCTGGGACTTCTGACCATTCCTCGGACATTTCATACAGGACGCTCAATAAACATTCAATAATTTTTACAAGCACAGAGCTATTCTAAGGCCACTGTGAACTATTACTCATTTTTTTACACAGATACTTAGGACAGACAAGCTTTACTATTGTCTCATAGCCTAACCTTACACAAGGCAGGTCTACACGAGTGCCGCCACAGCCATACAATAACATTTTGAACCTGATCCTGCTTTGACATGAACATAACTCCTACCAAAGCCAGTAGGAGCCCTGTCAGCACTTGACAAGGCTAGCTTGGTCTTTTTACAATAACAGCTTTCCATCCTCTGTGTTTAGTTCTCCCAAATTCTCCTGTTTTTTGATGTGGATCAGGAAAAGAATGTATTAACTGGGAGAGAATTTGCATAGCCTTTTTCTGCCTCACCACTGGATCTGTCAGTCACTACCTGTGAGCTTTCCAAGGCTGTACAGGAGTGCACAGAACTCGTTTCCCAAAGAATAGACAATTAATGTCTACCAAATTACTATTTTTTTTTTCTTTTTAAAATAAATCCATTCATACATTCCATTTCCCCAACCCCTCACTCTCTACTGCAACATATTTTTCAGCATGCAATAATATTGTTCTCATACTCAGGAAATACAGAAACTGATGGAAGAAACAGCACTGTTGTGAAGTAGTGTAACAGGAAAGTGGAGCTAGATATTTATATTTGACTACTTAGAATAAACATGCTGAACCAATACTATGCCCCTCTGAAAAGCTTTAAACCAAAACTGTAGCATAATCCAACTTCTTCATTTATAATGAGATCCATTAGATGAGCAAACTTGCATTCATCTTAGTTCATGTTCATATTAGTTATGATGGCCTACCAGTACATAGCAGTGCCTGCTAGAGATCTCCATAAATCAATTTTTGGAGTACAGACAAGCCATGTCTAATCCTACCCATCTTTAAACTACTGCTCTGCTTTGCTTCTGTACACAAAGTGGCCAGAACCACTATAAGAAAAGACTTCATGCATCAACATCTCATCTCTCCAAAATATACCCTATCTGCACAGTGTTTCTGAAAGGAGAGAATCTGGAGAAAAATAACCTGTCGGATGAATTTTCAAATGCTATGTCTGCATCTTGCCCATCACTGAATGCAGAGACATAAAGCTTTAGGAAAATGATAGCAAATTTGCAAGGCACAAATTTTGTTCACCTGTGAACACCAATCACACCAATTAAACACCTGCCCAGTCACTGAGGTGACTACATGTATTATAGCTCAGTTTCAGGCTGGAATTTTCCTTATTTAGGAAAATAACACAAACAGAAGACTTATTTGGTCTCTAATTTTAGCTAACTGCTTGCATGAGATTTGTGAATTATTCTAAGAGGTGACCTGATTTTTGTTTATTGGATCAGTGTTTCCTAATCTACTGGAGGTTATTTTGAAGAGTTTGGGGTTCTAACATAGATATCTATATATCACTACATCGTGTTGAGAAGACATGGCAAGCAGCGAGGCACCAGGACCCAGCAGAGCAGACAAGTGGAAAGGGTGAGCAGTTTGCTTCCCCTGCAGCTCAGTGTCCATGTTGATTGACATCCTTAAACTTTTATTACTGGGGAAAAAGAAGTAGAAAGGAGAATAAAAAGCATCAGCTATGCTAAAAGTCAACTTCAATGTAACCTAGTTAAATAAGAACCAGAAACAATTAAGTCCCCCTTGAAAAAAAAAAAAAGTTTCTAATCAGAACTAGGAAGGGGGTTGGCTTTCAGCTATTTTTGACTTTGAACTTAATAAAAGCTGTAACATCAGCTTCCTATTCTGGCCAAGCTGCCCCAGGTCCCACCCAGACCAGTCCCCAGGGCAGCTCCCCACCCTGTTTCTAACGGGCCATATCCTTTCTTTTTATGTCCAGGGTGGAAACAATGAGCCAGCACTACTCTACTACCTCAGACAGGGTTGTATTTTTATGTCATTACACCTTTGATTATTAATATTTCTCATCTAAATTGGCTCATGCTCTAAGAGGCAGACAGAACACTGCCCAGCAGCCCTGAGCTTAATGAAGCCAGGCTCCTATGAATTCACTTAGCAAGACATGTGAGGGTGATGGGGTTTTTTTTGAGAGTCCCTTCAGTACAGCACCTCCCCAAGAAGCAGAGCATCAGCATTTGACTGTTAAAGGTATGAATTGGAAGAAGTTCAGGTGTGGAAGCAGGGCTATGTACTGCAATACAGTTCTGACCATGAACACTAGAAATTCCCCATTCCTGTACACACAAGAGGCAAAATCTGTGTTCAGCACATTAGCTGCAAAAAGATCCTTCATGCCAGTAAATCCTGCCAAGTCCTGAAAGCACAGGCCATAGTCATGCTTGTGCTGTGCAGTGCATTCATGTCGTTTGTTCAAGAACATTACAGAGAGAAGCAGCCGTTTTCTAACAGCACAGTGTTTGCACAGCAACTGGTAATTTGGATACGCATCAGAGCTGTTGCACATCTGTCACAGTTGCTGTATCTCTAATGTAGGTGTTCAGTGCTCCCCAGACAAACTGGATTTAACTGCAGCACATGCTGCAAGTGCAGAAGTATAGCTCTGGGATGTACATCACAGCCAAACCCAGCCTTGCTGCTCATTCACTGCACATTTACAGATCTCCTCCTATAAGTTCTAGAGAAGACTACAAAAGGGCTGTGTTTAGAAAGCATCAAAAGAAAGGCTTTGCCATTAATACCACATTCATTGCTCAGCTGATGGCAACAAATTCAGCATTCACGGTCACGTACTCAGACCACGTTCCAAGACTCGTAGTAAGACAACTGCTTCTATTTCTTCTCTGTACTCTGCTTTCATACCTACTGCCTTCAGAAAGAGTTGCAGAGACCTCGTTTGGATGTTGGTTTCCTTTCACTAAACAAGCGATAAGTGTGCCTGAATATGGCTCCAGGAACTCAGTGCCAGTGAATATTTTATAGACACATTTTTAAAAATTCATATGAGAAAGAGGCTGGCTTGACTGGTATTTATCCACAGCTGCTGCTGTAACAGGAAACTAAGCTAATTAGAAACAACAGCAACTATAGCCAATGGGGGAGAATAAGCAATTATAAAATGCAGACAACAGTTCTTGTAAACTTTCACTGTGACAAAGAGGCATTTGGTTTCCAAAGTTGTCGGTCTACAATATTTTAACGTGGACTCATTTACCATTCACTAAAAATAAAACACATTCACTATATCACACATTACTCAGCTTCTAGCTTGTTCTTATCAAAAAGAAAGGAACAAAATCCTGTTAGCAGTTCAAACCCAAAAGGTGCTGCAGCTCACTGGTAGAGGAATGAAGGCTACCGTTCCAATGCTGTTGGGAAGCAGCAATGTTGAGTTGTGCAGGACAGTCTGTACTGCTAGCATTGCTACACTTGTGATCCTTAAGCAGCTTTCCCAACCCCTCCAGGCCTCAGATACATCCTCTGCAATGGTACAAGGCTTCTCTCTGCAAGCTCTGAATGACTGCTTGTAAAATGCTTTGGTTTTACTGCTACGTTTTCACAGAAGACGCTCTCACTGTATGTATTGCTTCCTCTACTGTACTACCTCAGTGTGCCTAAACAAGCCTGAAACATGCACTCTGTGCTGCCCAGTGCTGTAAAGCGAAATACAGTAATGAGTAAAAGAACTAAAAAAAGATAAGATGCCAAAGCAAGTGAAAATAATAAGAAAAACTCATCTTCTCTGTTACAGCAACAAGGCAGTGCACAAATCTCTACAGGCTGAAAACCTGACCTTCCCACCAGTGCTTACCACAGAGAACCAAGATGTTGCCCCCGCTGACAAATCACAGACATTGCTGCCACAGACCAGGAACCAGAGACTACTTCACTATAAATACATTGCTCATTCATCTTTGAATTGGAGAGGAACATCCATGTAGTCCCAGGCCCTAAAATACACTGGTCAAGAAAGTGGATGCTGCTAAGACTGTGTTCTCTAAGTTCTTTGTCCCTTATAAATCAAAAAACCTGAGGGCTTTCTTAGTAATGTGCATCAATGTCTTTTCATGATGCAGATTGAAAAGCCAGCTATTCTATGGTTTTCATACAGACGTACACTTGTATCCAATTCCACTTTTGTAACTGGAACAAGATGTCAGAATGAGCTTCCTTGTATTTCAGTCTGATTAACATTACAGTGAAAGGTCTAGATTATATGCTTGCTAACTTTTTAAAATGAGTAAGCTGTTGAATTTGAGCAAAAAATGTTTGAAATAAGGGTTGTCTCATTTCTTATTTGGTCATCTGCTTGGCATAAGGCACAACCTGTTTCTGATACATGAAGCAACAATTCTGTAACAAGTCCTAAACTGAATTTTTCTTTTGCACCTATTTGGCCACAAGTGGTTCACTCATTCAAGAGACGCTGTTAAGCAGATATTGGAGTTGCAGCCAGGACCAAATGACAATAATGAGATTAGACAGTTTAAAACCTTGACATTGTTTCTTTTTCGTTCCCCACTGACGCCCCATTGAGCTCTTTCCACGTTTGCCTTCCTCTGTGGTATGGCGAAAGGCACAGCTCAACACAAACAACATTAATGAGATTTCTAGTGGGATTACAATACATTTTTCTATTGGGACCATTTGGACACTACTATTTGCCTAATTATTCTTCTCCTAATTAATTCTATCGGCAGTTGC